AATATCTGGATACTATTAACTAAAAGATGGCAGAATAAGGCTAGCATCTGAAGATCTGGATATACCAAATCATATAGCTAAGGTCAGTTACACTTGAGGCTGGTCTCCATAACCACTCTAATTTTGTTTTGAAACAAAATGCACTTATTTATTCTGTAACCAATGTGGTTATTCCACTTCAGATCTCACTGTCACTTAAGTCCAAAAAGCTATTTTGACACAACACCTGGAATGTTCAATATGAAGTGCTACAATTACAGCTGCTGTCTATTCTAACACTTCTTTCACTTCTGGCTTAAATGGAAAGGCCAATCATGACTGTCAGCTCACTGAAGGCAAGGGATGAAAGCAGCAATTAATCTCAAGCGGAGTTTTTAGGTAACTTAAGTGTTTAAGTAAATTGATTCCTATTATTTACATACAAGTCACTTCCAGCAACAAGTTTTTGATTGTTATAACTTACAGGTAAATTAGATCTGTGTATAAAAAACTACAAGTAAAAGCACGTATTCCGACTTGAAATAATGAGTTTTATAATACCATTAAGTGCAGCACAATAGACAGTGCTCCTTCTGTCACTTCTCAGTGTCTAAGGCTAGACAGGTACCTGTTCATCAAGCATTCTCCCGTGCTCTTCCGATAAAAAGCAGGAATTGGGACGCCCCAGCATCTTTGCCGTGATATGCACCAGAATGTCCTTCTATCCAGCATCTCCAGCATCCTGTTCACGGCAGACGTAGGGATCACTTTCACTTTTTTCAGCACGTCCTAGAAAGGAGACAGTGACCTGCTGAACTTGCTTCAGCTTGCACACAAATAATGTTTTTGGCCAGTAAAATATGGTACAGATCTACTCTCCCACTCCCAGTATCAAACAACATTCTCAGACAACTGCCTGCTGCTCCTCAGTAACTTATGTGAACACTGCATATACTCTCTATTTCCTGACCAAACCCCAGTTCTCTGATTTTCTAGCAGACACACCCTAAAAATGAGTTAAAAATGGCATCAGTGACTTTAATCTGAAGTTTAAAAGCTGACTGTAACTTGTACTGTTGTCTGCTTTGAAAAGCCACCTTGATACAAACTGACTATAATGGGCTACCACTCACGCCCAGCCCTGCTGAATAACCACCACATTTTCATCCATCCTACATAAAGGTGAATATGGAATATACACCTCATGCCCTAGTTAGAATAAAATCACTGTTACTCCAAGGTGCTGGTCTGAATTTTCTGTGACAAAATTTACCTAACTTCAAAGAGCAAAAGACCCCAAGCTTTAAAGTTATTTAAGATAGGACTGTGACAAAATTAACAGGGCATCAAACAAAGATGTCTGGCCACACGAGGCTAGCCTAACAAAAAAGGTAGATTTAATAGTGATAAAATTGTGTCTTCTAATTTAATTCCTTGAAACATCATATTTTTAAAAATATTCTAGGGAAAAAAAATCAGTAGCTCTAAGAAACTTCTACATCTGTAAACACAATGAGAAAATATACCAGTCAGTGTAGCTACCCTGGATTATATCAACACTGACAAAAAAATTGACAACATATTTCACTTCAACAAGTAATTAACACTTTTCAGCTACTGTTCATAAACCCTAGGGAAGAACATATCCTGGAGGGAGCTACAGCAAGAGTTTTTTGCTGATTCCAAACAGCATCAGTTGTCTTCAAGTGTCTTGTAAGAAAGCGAAATTACATACCTGTGCTGTGGCCTTCACATCTGCTGTGTTTACAAACCACTGTTTGCTGGCACGAATAATCATTGGTTTTTTAGACCTCCAGTCATAGGGGTAACTGTGCACGTATTTCTCCTCTTTTAACAAACTCCCAGCTGCTTGAAGCATCTTAATGACTGAGAGAAAAAATGAAGCAAGATTAAATTTCAATTTGGACATATGGTTGCTGTTAACCTCAACTCAGCCCTTTCCATTAACTCTTAGCAAGAAATGCCTGTACCTCATCCATACTTGAAATACGGCCAGTTTACATAAACTCTCAAAATATACCTGCAGGATTGTAACTGTTGAAGTAACAAGTGGTCAAACATCAAATGCTCACCAGCTTCATTCCCTTCTTCAAGGACATACTTGTTTTTAAGCTCAGGACCTGCTGCTTCTGTAAAACACCCACTTTCATCCACAAGGCAATCCTGAAAGTAAATAAATTAGTCATGTCAACAAAATACCATGTGACAATTAATTAACTTTTTGGTATTTAAAAGTGAGTTAAACACTCTACCAGGTGACTCATTTTCTGATGAATAACAAAATATTTAAGTAC